ATATGAATGATTATTTTTTTAAATAATGGTAAACATAAATAAAATACTGAACTTTTAGTGGATTTAAATACAATAAACTGCCATTTAATTAGCACAAAAACTGATTTTTGATGTGGACATTATGTGCAGTCTTGGAATTTTTTAAAATTAATTTTGTTTTATTTTTTATAAATTTACGACATATGTGTAATTTAGCAAAACAGGGAAAAGTTGTTTAATATAATATAATATAGTATAATAATAAAAAATACAATTTTTAAACCCTTAATTTGCATAATTCTTCTTTCAAATAACGGCAGATATCCATAAAATAATGCTATTTTTTGATAAATTAAATACAGAATAAACAATGTCATTTTATGGTCACACTGAAAATAATGCTTTGTAAACATACAGATTTTTCATGTGGACATTTTTTTTCAACTTTGGCCTGGTTTTTTGCCGTACATGTGAAAAACAGTACTTATATATTTGCAGTTTAACAAAACAGGGAAAATTTAGAAACAAACGTTTCAGGTCTTTTCTGTATTTTTCTCATTTTCTTTTTCCAGCCTTGTTTCATGAATGAATCTGATCAAATGGTGCTGTGTTTGTTTTGCTCACCCTGGGATTCCTCCAGACTCCAGCTTGTTGGCGATGTCAACGTCCCAGGACCAGACGTCAAACTGCCACTTCCTGAGGCCCAAAACGCCACAAAGAACCGAGCCGGAGTGGATCCCGATGCGCATGTCGATGTCGTGTTTCGTACGTGATCTCACATATCTGCAAGAAAAAGAACAATTATCACAATGATGAGGTGCATTTTCTAGCATTGCAGTGAACATAGAGGATTTTATTTAAGCTCTGTGCACATATGTAACGCAGTGTCACACTGAAACATATCCGTCAAATGATGACATACCCGTCTTTCACTGTTTTCAGGAAGTTTGTGCTGCTTACTGTTGCTGGCGCTACAAAATTACTTGGCAAATTTTAGAAAAAGATCATGACTTGGGCTCAAATACACCTTTCAGTGGATGTATTCCTGCTGTTTGCTTTTGTTGACGCTACATGAGTATAGCTGGTTCAGGGATGGAAATTTCAAACAATTTTCTTAACAGATAATTGGCGATGTAATCAATCAATAGCTGATTAATTGCTCGGATAGTCAACTCTGGTCAGAGGTGATTAACCTCCACAGAAGTCTTTGTCATGGTGTCCGTTGGTAGCTAAACTCCCACAATGCTCTCTGCTAGCCAACATGAACTGCCTGTAGTCTGAGTTAAACAGTAAGAGGCTCCACCTGGTGGAACAACCAGGTACTACAGCTGATCTACATTTGCATAACTTTCGTCTGCAGCCTTATCTGTTAATTTAGTTTTTGTGGTTAAATTATTAATGGCAATTAATCATTAACATCCCTGTTTTAAATACACCTGATTTCTGTGTTGGGTGACGAGTGCTGCCACAAGAATATCCCCAAAGAAACTTATTCATCTCACAATTTTACAGTCTTTTCTTTGTGCAAGTAATATATTTCTGCAACGTGAGCCGATATAGCTATAGACAGCTTTCCACTGTGAGAACTCAAAGTAAGCGCAACGTGGTACAAATGCTGACAGCTGTGGACCACTCATCCGCCCTTTAGACTTTCTGTTTCCATAGCAGGGCTTTCAATGCAAAGTTAACTCCATCAAAGCAACGGAAAGTGTCGTTACTGGATGTAACTCCAGTTCTATGAGCATGTAGGAAATAGAACGATGGAGGTTTGTTATTTTAGCTTACATGGTGAGAAAACTGGATGAAGACATTGAGAAGGGAGAAGAAATGGGGTTTGTTGAATTTAACCAACCAGTAACGTTTCAGGGTCGCAAAAACCTTTTAATCGCCCTGAAAGACGCTCTGCAGGGACAGCTCCTGCAGCTGGAACATGCTCAAAGGTTCAGGTCAGTTTCTGCAGGAATATACTGAGCTGACATATTGATCTGATGAATGGATGCCTGGATGATGGCAACAAGCCAAAGAATTTATGTGGTCGTTGTTGTGCTGTTGGTCTAAACTGTCAGAACAATAAGCAAACTGAAAGCAAAGTGCTGTGAGGTAAATGACAGCCCACTTCAAAATAAAGTCCCACTTTGACCTTTCACAGGTTCACTATTAAAAATGCATTGTTTTGCAATCAAAACGTATCTTTAAATTAGTAACGACAATAACAGATGAGGAGCGATACACCTATGTGCATATTTCAGTGTTGTATAAAAATTTGATAGAATTGACTTCAAGGCCATTGAGGCTGAAATATTCATGCGGGAACTTTGAAACTCTGTGTGCATTAATTCAGCCAATTAATATTCATGAAATTGACCTCTGGTGAACTGAAACAGACAAGGCTCAGAAATCCATCAACAACGGAGGTTTAAAATAAAAACAAAACAACCCCAGCAGACTTTTCACACTCGTTATTACATTTGTTTCTCATTTCATACTTTATTATAATGGAGCACAACACAAAGGCTGATAAGAGTCTGTGAGCAGCAGACGGAGCTCATTTCATGCTTCATAACGGCAGCGACGGACGTGAGGTGAAATGCATCCTGGGGGTCTGTGGCAGGTGCCGCGAGTCGCTCGACTGCTGAGCGAAAATTAACTCAAACACGCCGCAGGTTGTCATGACGACGACAGTGCTGATGATGATGATGATGGTGATGATGATGATGATGGTGATGATGATGGTGGTGATGATGATGATGATGATGGTGATGATGATGATGATGATGATGATGATGATGATGATGATGGTGATGGTGGTCGAAGACTTTGCATCAATCTTTACGAGTTCATGTTTAACCCAAAAGACTGTGTTGAGTTATAAGATTAATTTTTTTTTTCTGTTTCATTGAATATTTTATGGGCTGCAAGGTGACTCAGTGGTTAGCACTGTTGCCTCGCAGCTAGAAGGTCGCCGGTTCGCGTCCCGGTGAGGACACCCGGGATCTTTCGGTGTGGAGTTTGCATGTTCTCCCCGTGCAGTGTGGGTTCTCTCCAGGTTCTCCGGCTTCCTCCCAAAAAACACGTTGAGGTTAATTGGTGATTCTAAATTGTCTGTAGGTGTGAATGTGAGTGTGCTTCTGTCTCTACGTGTAGCCCTGTGATAGACTGGTGACCTGTCCAGGGTGTCCCCTGCCTTCACCCTGAGTCAGCTGGGACAGACTCCAGCCCCCCATGACCCAAGTGAGGATTAAACGGTGTATAGATGATGGATGGATGTTTTACTGTATATTTTATCTGTTTCTCATTTCTTGTCTCTTTGTCTTTTTTTTTTTTATAACTGTTTCAGTCAATTTAAATCAATAAATAATAATAATACATCTGTCTGCACTTCATTCAACTTATCTGTCCTGTTTTTGATTATTCAAATGTATTAATTTAATTTTGATGACATACACATTTATTTATTCATTTATTTATTTATTGTCCAATTTGAATAACCTCTGTGTGTGGTAAGGTGCTTTATAAATACACTTTCTTACTTAATTATTAGAATACACAAGTTTTTAAGTTGATCACTCATGAAAATGAAGTTGTTCGTTGCATTTAGTTCTGGGAATTTGCTTTTCCATTTATTTTATTTTAATTCATTTTCAACAGGTGAGTGATATTACAATTCACCTCTATGTGCCACAAAAGAGGGGGGAAAAAAAAGCTAAAATGACCAAAACTGTTTTTCATTCCAGGCTGTAGATGTGTTTATTTTTTGTAAAAATGAGCTCAGGTCTGTTTGCAGATTTTATTCAGTTCATTTCTGCTGCTGTGAAAACTGCCAATCTTCAGTGTCACAGCAAAGAATGCTGGTTATTTTTTAACAGGAATAACACACTTTTCTGTTTCTGAACACACTAATGACTGCTTTAACAGCAGTTAGCTCTTTTTACTGTGTTTCCTGCCAATGTTTCTCATCACAGCAGCATCGACGGCTCACTCAGTCGCTCACTTTGGATTTTGGGGGTGAAAATTGCTCCCCTTTGTTTGGCTGAAAGGATTTGAGTTTTCTCAAAGTTCCATCTTTTCATTATTGTGAACGATTTTAAGCTAAAATGAGGCAAACATCAGAAAGTTTGCTTGTAAATTCAGCACAAAGGCAGCTTTTCATGCACGTTTCACAACTAATAAGTACAAATAGGATCCTGTAACAACAGCACTGGACGCCTCAGACACTGAAGGGTTTCTGAAGCCGTGAGAAGCTGCTGGTCTTTGATTCGTGTTGATTGTTGAGCATGAAGACAGCAGATAAACATCAGACACAGCGAGAGACACTGAACTCTGTCTGCAGCTCAGAAAACACACGTTTTAACCCTCCAAACACAGATCTGATTTATGTCAGATATACAGGCCTCACGCAGGAACACTGTCTCGTTTTTATCTACAATCTTTCTCACAGTTTTCTCTCCTTGTGCTTCTTTGTTCTGTTGCAGTTGATGGAGAGGCAGAAAATCAGAGTAACTCAAGTAGTTTGTATTTGACTCGTCTGTCTCAGCTCATATTAGCTCCAGATAAACGTCTGAATACATTTTAGAGTAAAACCAGGACTGCAGATTTTGTCATCCATCACTTAAATTGAAAATGCATTAGAAAATGATCCTTTTACCCTCTGAATCCTAAATCCTACCAGCAAGTTTGAAAGGCATATTACCTTTCAAAAAAGAAGCCAAAATGACTCTACCAGAGCGAGAAACTGTAAAAACAGAAAGAAGTGATGGATTCTCAGCTGTTTCAGTCACTGAACTTCATCTGTGATTTGCAGTTTCATGCGTAAGTAAATTAAATCAAAGTGTTGATTTAAAATCCTCATATTTAATCAAAATCACTTTATTCTAATGTCTCATTTAAAACTTTGCCGAAAATAAACTATTGGCACAAACAAGATTCTGTGAAAAACAAAAAAAATCTGCACTTCTCTGCACATCTGTGAAGCTATGAGCGACTCAACTGCCACCAACAGTCATGTCACAGATATATGCGCTATACAAATAAAATTGAATTGAATTGAATTGAATGTTCTCCCCGTGCAGCGTGGGTTCTCTCCGGGTTCTCCAGCTTCCTCCCACACGGTCCAAAAACATGTTGAGGTTAATTGGTGATTCTAAATTGTCCGTAGGTGTGAATGTGAGTGTGCTTGGTTGTTTGTCTGTAAGTGTAGCCCTGTGATAGACTGGTGACCTGTCCAGGGTCCTGCCTTCACTCTAAGTCAGCTGGGATAGACTCCAGCCCCCCCAAGACCCTAATGAGGATTAAGTGGTGTATATACAATGGATGGATGGATGGATGGATGGATGGATGGATGGATGGATGGATGGATGGATAGTCATTGTTGTGCTGGAAACAGGACAGCTGAATCAAATGTGCATGTTATCTTTCAAAAAAAAAATCTCCAAGAACTTTTCATTTATAAGCCAAAAACTATACATAAAAAAGAATTGTTGCATTGTCAGCTTTCTCACAGTCCTTGAACTAATCATCTGTGGGTTACAGTGGCCTCAGGACATTTCACCAAATCCAAATCTTTAAACATTTCTTCAAAATCCTTTTATTCTGCATGTCTCATTCTAAAATTGCCAAAAACAAACTATTTGCATGCTGTTTTAAATTGAACTGCAGGCAGTGTTTACACAGAGCATAAAGGAGACACATAGGAAAAAATCGATAGTTTGTGGAGCCTCCGTCATTCTTTCCAATGTTGGTAACACGTGGACATTTGAAACATGTTGAATTTAGGTTTTTGCAAGATAAATAAAATCAATTCAACTTTTTTGTTGTTGTTTTGGTAGGACTTCTGTTATTCTAGACACAGTCATGCTGGTCCCACAGAGGTTCAGGACTTTCTGTTGCAGTGTGGCAGCTTCTTGCAGCTTTCTGTGCCTCACAAGCAGGTGAAGCTGCATTAATTAGATCCACGAACACAAACTCCAGCCGTCTCTAAAGCCACCGTTCTTACAGCAGCAGTGTCGCACCACAGAGCGACCGGCTGTCCTCAGCTCACCATATTGACTTAATAGTATACAGCACAAATCTCACAGCTTATCCGCCACTAATCCCTCTTTTTCCTCCAAACATCCTCCTCTCCTCCCTCAATGTCACGCTGGAAGTGATGCAACAGGGTCAAAATGCGCAAAGAAGATCATCAAAATGAAAACTGCAGGCTTCAAAAGGACAAACTCTAACGTCTGAGAGCCTTTTTACGAGAACCTGCAGAGCACCGGTGTGTTATAAGTGGGCGGTTTTAGGCGTTTTGAACCTCCTCTCTCATGAAATGATGCTTCTACAGTCACATGGAGCTTATGAGATCTGCCAAACCCTGTTATGTAATTTCAGAAATGTGATTCCATCACTAAAAATACGTTTCCTCCCGTCTCAGTGATGCTGCACGTCTGATACGGAACCGGGTAATTGGACGCGTTATTTGTGACTGAAACTCAGCTGGAGGCTAATTCTTGCAAATGCAAATATCGCGGAGAAGCTTTTGTGAGATCAGAGACCTGCTGCACCGAGGACAGCGAGAAACAAGATAAAAGAATTTTACAGATTACAGCAGAGTTGTCCAGCACCTCGGGCGAAAAGACACAACAGATTCCTTTAAAGTAGCAGCAGTGAAACAACAACTGAGGCTGGGTTTCATTCAACATATTTGCAGGAGAGAAGTGTAGTTCAGTCACGGTGTGCGTCTGAGAGCTTCAGAAATAAATAAACTGCAAACTAAAAAGCAAAGCTGCTCCATGTTTCCTGAATCTGCTGCTTGTTATGCAAAGTGCCTGAAAACGGCACTTCAGTTGTTTGCATCCGACTCTTAACTCGCTGTAATCGGCTCTGAGCGCACAGACGCGACACATACGCAGCGTCAGTAGAAACAACTCACACAGATTTGTGAAGAAATTTCTTAGAACTTAACAGCACACAGTGATTTCTAACAGCTACACTGTAAAACAAACAAACAAAAAAGGGGGTTGAAAAAGGAGTGAAAACCGGAAAAAGAAAAAAAAGGAAAAATGGTGGAATAATGTGATGTTCAAAAACTCCAAGAACGGTAAAAATGAGAGCAAATATCTGGAAAATAATGATTGTTTTGTTTTTCCTGATGTAAATACAGTAAAACAGTGTGATTTTACAGTCAAATATAACAAAAGAGTGAGAATAGATTTTTGGACATTATTTACACTTTTGGTAAATTAATACTTTTCTTTTGTGATTTTACTGGACATCATCTGTACTTAGAGCAGGAACAATCTGTAAATACCAGTTAAAGCTGATCTACCACTCCTCAGTACTCAACATACAAACGTTTTCTTTTAAATAGCAGAAAATATTTGCAAAATAATGATATATTTGCTGATTAAAATACAATAGAAACTGTCTAATTTGATTATCAATCGTTGTAAAAGGACAAACTACCACCTGTAAAAAAAAAAAACAACAGATTTTTAACATAGACATTACTTACAGTTTGTTTGTTTGTTTTGCAGCTGATGTGTTAATTAATACTTTTTTCTCAGATTATACTAAATATCATCTACAATTTAACAAAACAGGAAAAATTTATTTAAAAAAACACTTTAAACAGTGCACCTTTTTTTTTAGCCCTAAATAAAATAAAATAACTTTTATAACTAAAATATTGATAATTTTGCTGATTTAAATATGGTAACAGTATACATTTAATTTTAAATGTTGTGAAAAAAATAATTACATTTATAAAAAAAATAAATGTAAAAAAGTCAATGTTAAAATATAACATTTATATAACTGTCTTTTGTTTTATTGCTACTTTCTACATGTACATTTAAAAAATGAATAAATAAAATAAAAAATCTGTGATTTGACAAGAAGGAAAATCTATAAAAAAGCTGTTAAACATTTATAATTTTTCAATCATTAATATTCAATAATTTTTCTTTCTTTCTTTCTTTTTTAATAAATACAGATTTGATGTAGACATTATTTATACTTTTAGCTATTTCTCATTTTTAGCTTTATTTAAAGATACAATGTGAAAATGGAATACGTTTATCTGGGAGTATCTGTAACTTAACAAAACAAAGAAAGTATGACATATAACAGTTTTTTCTTTTTTTTGTTACAGTGCAGGATCATGTTTACGGTGGACTACGGAGACACGGGGCTCAACCAACACCCAACTCTATGATGGGAACTTCAGCTTGTATTTGTTGACATACTGAACCTAAAAATTTAGCCAAAAATATTTAACAGAACGTAGTTTGGTTTCTTAAATAATCAATAAGTAAAGTCTGAACATTTTCTGAGACGGTGCAGCAACATATTCACTCAACTCTGTCTACACTGACTCAGAATGACCCACATTCTTTGTCTAACTACTGAATTTGCTTGAAACTGACCAGGTTTTTAAGTCTTTCCTTAGAAATACAGTAGGTACGTTCACTCCTTTTTTTCAGAGAAACAAAATGCTGATGTATTTTGGGTCACAGCTGCTCTCAGCTCACCATAAGTGTGTTACATAAGAATCTAAGAATAGAGGTCAGAGGGAAAACCTCTAGGTCCATGTAGGGGGAAGCCTTTTCATCTCTAGAGAGCTGTTTGTTTTTGGAAAGTAGGATCCAAAGCATTTCTTACATGGTATGGAAAACCTACCATGAACTGTGTGTAAACAAATAATAGAATAAGAAAGAGTGTTCACTGTAATGCTCTTCTTTTTTGTGGAGATGCTGGACATATTCTGCCTGTTTTTTTTCTAGATGAAACCGTACCTCAATGACCCAAACAAGTTTTAAAAAGACAAGCCCAACATTTCAGCTTAAGCCTTCAAGGGCCAGAAAAAAAATCCAAAAACTATAGAAACTAGTCAAACCAAAAACCGCCTAATCACTAAATTTACAAATTTGATACAACCGACGTGGTGCTTTATGCTGATAGAGCTATTTCTAACACAGACATGAAGTTGACCACATAGTTGACCACAATCCTTACAGATTCCACCGCGTGTTGTCAAAATAAAGTCAGAATGGAGGCCATTAAGTGTTACCAAAGACTCTGTCATGCTGTCCATTGCTAGTTAAAGGTTACATACGGTTTGTCACTGAGATATGAAAAAACACTCTTCTTGGTCAATACAGGCTTCTCCTAAACAATTAGGTTGATTATCTGAGGTCAGTTTATCTGATTGGTCCATGAGCTCCAGCAAAACGTTCAATTAGCTGAAGTTGGATTGTTCTGCTGATAAAATGTGGAATCAAAAAAAAAAAAAAACAATATTCACATATCTGTTAGATTATAATTTATTCCCGTGCATGCTGTTTGGAGTAATTCCAGTCTGGGACGTTCTAAAACTGTCTCATGTCTGTGTCTTGGCTCAATCCAAGAAATTTGGTGGTTGGAATACGCAGGATATCTTTTTCAAATTTCAGTTCATTTCTTTCTCCCCCATTAAAAAACACGACATGGCCTGCAGTAGAGTTGTTAACAACGATGACAGCAACAGAAGCTCGTTGGTACCTGATGGTTTTGATCATGCTGAGGCCCATCTCCACGCAGCAGTGGGCGTGATCCTGCCTGGGCTCCGGCAGACCAGACACACAGTAGTAACAGTCTCCCAGGATCTTTATTCGTAGACAGTGATGCTCCTGCAGCACAGAAACACATGACGTTCATGTAATTAAACCTTAATGAAACCCAAAACGTTAAAGCAGAGAACATGAGCGAAAAAATATGTATGAAGTGGAAAATTAAAAATAAATACACGACTGAAAACGCACTAATGCTCCGACTGTGAAATCGTGACCGACAAGGCGTGACAGCCTGAAATACTCTCATGATAATAATAATAATAGTCTGATATCATGTGGAGCTACGGACTGAATGCTTTAACTGATTTTAAGTCTGTTGATTTGAATTAAATTTCTGTCGAGCTGCTCCAAAAACAAAGAAATGTATTTATTGAATAGCTCCATCCAGTTTAAACTTTACTAACAACAGGACAAACAATAATGTCATTTATCTCATCTTGTCTTATCTTAATCAAGTAAGTAACAGAGTTTGTTTTTCTACAAAGATGTGAAAAATTAAAGTGACGTTATTTCTACAGAACTTTTAAAACAGCTCATGTTGAACTCAATACAGAAATAAGATGAACATTACTCATTTGCTTAAAAAGTCTAAATATTAAGTTAGGAGCCTTCAACGTGACCTAATTTACCTGAATAATTTACATACTAAGGTTAAAATCCTAAACTGTTATTTATTATTAAAATGTACTTGAATAATTTACATACTAAGGTTAAGACACTACAATATTATTTAACATGCAAATTTACCTGAATAATTTAAATACGAAGGTCAAAACCGGACAAAATTAATGAGACAAATTCAGCAGAATCATTTACATATTAAGATTAAGAAGCTACAACATTAATTATTCTACAAATGTCCCTCAGTTAAATATTAAGGCCCTGCAACATTAGTTGTTGTTGTAGGTTAATTACTAGAAGAAATGTTAAAAAGAGCAAGAATGAGAAGAAGAAAAAGTACAGCAAGAAAAGAAAAGTAAGAAGAGAATAAGAAGAAAAGGAAGAAAAGGAGGAAGGAGGTGGTAGAAGAAGGAAAAAGAGGAGAAGGAGATGGGAAAAGAAGTAGAGGCAGAAGAAAAGCAGAAGAAGAAGGAGGAGGAGGAGGAGAAGAGAGGAAGACGCAGAAGTAAACGGAGTAGAAGAAGAAAGAGGAGAAGAAGGAAATGAAGAAAGAAGAAGCAGAAAAAAAGGAGTAGTAGAAGAACAAGAAGGAGAAGAAGGAAGAGCAGAAGAAAGAGAAGAAGTAGTAGAAGAATAACACAGAGCAGAAGACGAAAAAGAAGAAGCAGAATAAAAAGTAGTAGAAGAAAAAGAAAAATGAAGAGGAGAAGAAGAAGGAGAAGGAGAAAAAAAGGAGTAGTAGTAGAAGAAGAAGAAATCAAGAGGAGAAGAAGAAAGAGGAGTAGGAGAAGAAGAAGAAAAGGAGTAGTAGACAAAGAACAAAGAAGAATGAAGAGGAGAAGAAAGAGATGATGAAGAACAAGAATACAGAGAAGAAAGACGAGAAGAAGATAAAGAAGAAGACGAGAAATAAAAAAGTGGTAGACGAAGAACGAAGAAGAAGGACAGCACTTTACATTGCCAGTTATCTTTCTTCTTCATTGTCTTCCATTTGTAGGATTCAGCACCCAGTGCTGATGCTATTCTTATGAACTGACAGCTTGTTTTATCTCATTAGAATCATGCAACAAGTGTTTTCTCTCTTCAGACACTCAGAGGAATGAAAACATGGTTTGTCCTTTACAGAACAAAGGTGTATTCCAATGACTTTATGAACAGTATCAATACTTCAGCAGATGTCATAAACTAGGTAATCCATCAGCTGACATCCTCCTCACTAGATAAACAACAGCATTGGTCGCTGAAGAGCCCTTTAACATGAGCACAAACTACAAAAGGTTTTAAAAATCCCACATTTCTTTCAGGATTCTGTCAAATAATTACCTGCCAACCAACCAGAAACTGTATTTTTGTTTCCTTTAACCCTCAGACCACTCAGCTCTAGTAAAAAAATGAGAAAAAAACTGTCTCACAGTGAAAATGTTGAGAGTAAGGAGTCAAGGGGAGGCAGTTAAAAGTGGATTCTGCTGCAGGAGTAGCTGAAAAAGCCTCTGTGACTTTTTAAAGTTTGTTTTTGGCCATTTGTTACAGAAAATGAAATTCAGCTTAACTGAGGCTCGATTGCCACATGAGGACGAATATGTAAAGCGATAAGGTCGGCTAGTAAATATCGCCTGGGTTAGCGAGTTCCTGGGATCGCTAATGCAGTTAACAAAATGGCCGATTAAGGCAGCTAATTTTTATGTAAACTTCCAGAGTGAAAATAAACATGTGAAATGTTCATGCAAAAATCTTTTTTTTTTTCTAAAGCTGCAGAAAACTCGTCATATTTGCCGTGACTGCAGAAGCAGTTTGTTTCCCCAAATCTCTGCGACAAAGGTGACGAATGTAGCATTAGCATAGCGACAAACCAGCAACGTCAGCGGATGTCACAGGTTAAACATACACTTTCACAAAAACTGCAACAGATTTGTGCACGTCGAGTGAAAAGCTGAAATGACTCACGTGTGCGAGGCGGTCGAAGCGTGCAAAGAGTTCGTTCAACATTCGCACCAGCTCCTGCGCTGACAGCGTCGTGGAGAGGTTTGTGAAGCCTTTAACATCTGCGAAAAGAATGCTGAATAAAATACGGAAATGTCACTTTAATATCCAGGTCAGCTCTTAAAAAAATACTTATATTTCAGATTTGCATAAGTTGCACATTTACACAAACATCTCAGTCAGAAATGATCATCATATGACACACAAATTTGAGAAAACAAGCAATAATAAACAGAAACGCCCCACGTGATTTAAGAATTCTCCTTCTTATGGCAGTACAGGTGAAGATAAAGTTTTTCATGGCGTTTTTTTCCTCACCTGACATTCTCGTAGCGGTGGATGTAGATTCTGTGGAACTGATGCTGGAGGTGCTCGTCCTCTACATTTGTCATGTCGTTGATCATTTCCAAAACTACAAAACGTGGCAGGACTGATAACACCAGTCGCTCCTGTGGGGCAGAAAAATGAATCATGTTAGCGCTCTGACCTGGAAAAATGTTGTTCCATGAAGTCATTTTGGTGATTTGTCAGCCTTAAAAGTCTGATTTTCTTCAACCTGCAGGTGGGTTTGAAAGGTCTGTTTAAAAAATCCCTAAAAATAAACCATTTGTCAGAGACAAAAACCCAGAAGTAGTAGATTTTGAAACATTTGATGGCAATTGAAATATCAGGAAAAGAAAAGAGGGAAAAAAAGAAAGAGAGAAATGTATTAATCCAGATGGAAATTCTTGTGGCAAATATTTCTCATAAAACAAATCACCTGCGACGTGCCATTTCATCTGAAACTAACTTTAAAACTGTGAAGCTTTATCAAAGTCACTACATTCTACATGTCTAAATTACAAACATAATCCAAAAAAAAAAAATAAACACTACACCATTACAAGACAAAAAATCAGGAAGTACTTGGTTGAACGGCAGGCAGTGTTGACACACAGCAGATAGGTAACAGAACAAATTATAGAAGTAAGTACTAAATCATCTACAGTATGTGAATCCTTCAATTCCCCCCCTAAGTGTTGGTAACATCTGTGGACACTTGGAACTATATTGGACATGTTGATTCCAGGTTTTCTCAATTTTTGTGGAAGAAAAAAATAAAAAAATAAATTTCCTGTTTGTCTTTTTGTGTAATTAATGTCATCATAACTGTGTCCTACTGACAGAAGGGATTTCTGAGTTCTCGCTCCTTCTTCGTGGTTGTTCTGTTTCCATAGAGGTGCAGGACTTTATATTGCAGTGAAAAATGAACCACAGTGAGTAAAAATTAGGAAAAAAAACCAGCCAGACAGTGTTGCGTATAGTTCTGACATCAATCATCCCATTACAACACAATCTCCTGCTGGGAAACTAAAGTCCTACATTCATGTGATGTTAATGTGACATGTGTCTAAACACAAACAAGCACATGTCCTCTGCTAGAACTGCTAAAACTGCTTAGAAAAGGCTTGAGGAACACAACCAAGAGCCCAAGAGGACACGTGGCAATAAGAGGGATGATATTAGGGCAGACTGTTTTAATGTTGTGGCTTATTACTGTACAGAAAACAAGTAAAAGTCACCTGATCAAATGGCAGATTGTTCCACTTTTTGAAAGAAAAAAAATTAGGGTTCAAAACTAGATAATAAGAGCAAAAGTGGAACTGAGAGCTAAAAAGTTCACAAACTTGTTAAACACACGAAAAAACAGTGTTTCAGCTCAGCAACAAAAAGATAATGTAACAGTTTGCATAAATGTTTTTGAGCTAAGACAATTTCAATGTAAAAGTTTTGAAAAAAATCAGAAAAATATGTTTCTTTTTTTATTTATAAGTATAAAATCTTTTCATAATCAGATGTACGAAGACGCCAGCTAGGTTCAGTTGCATGATTTTTAAAAAAAAAATTACAATAATGTAGAAAAACAAAGCTGAACAGATTCACAAAACCCATATTATACAAACATAGACACAGAAAATGGTATTAAGAAGTCATGTTCAACCAACAAAACATATTGAGCCAAGGAAAATTCGAGCTTGCTTGCTTGCTTCCTTCCTTCCTTCCTTCCTTCCTTCCTTCCTTCCTTCCTTCCTTCCGTCCGTCATTCAATGGTATTTTAAAATATTTAATGGTTGGTAGCACAAACTCATGTTTTTAAATTGATTACTGGCAAAAAATCAAGTTGATTATTTGAAAGAAACTTCCTGTAAGTATGATGTGCCTGATTACCAAAACAAATCAAAAAATGAACTCATGTTTTTAAGTTGGAATATAAAAAATTTAAAAAATCCTCCAATGTTTAGGAGGCAGAGAAGATTTGAAATCGTAGCCTCAAAAAATAATGGAGAAAATGTAACTTTCCTTAATATGAATTGATTGAATATGGGATAAAAATAATAACATTTAAGCTTAAATTAGACACAATATTAAGTTCATTGCAACATTATTAGTGTCAAAATAACTTCAGAAAATAATGTTTGCAACTTTAAAGATCCATCCAAACGTAGTGAGAACGGGTCTCTTGAATTGCGAGTGCAGCGTGCAATTTACAGTTAAATGCAGTTAAAATAGAAGGCAAGGAGGAATTAAATGGAGTCAAAAATAGAAATCAACTGAACTAAAGCTTGTAAAAACAAATTACATAAAGTCCCGTCTGTAGGAGACGATTTGCTGAAGGATAAGCTGCTTCATCAGGATCCTCAGAAACAACCAGAAACCTGAGTTTGTCTCGTGGTTTTGGTTCTGACGCGGCGCCACTTGGCAGCAGCAGAGACAGATTTGGAGTGGGAGCGCTGCAGCATTCCTCAGTATTTTTTTTTGGCCTCGGGGATCTTCAGCAGCGCCAAGCAACTGCCTCCTTCACATTCTGAATACATTAGAACCAACCAGAACCGTGGAGGGTGACATCAGCAAACAGCTCGTGTTCAGAGACGCTGGAGATTTCTGATCCTCTGCACTTAAAGGACGGCAGAGGGACGCGTCTAATACCTGGAAACCGGTCAGCTGGCTCAGTGCTGCGTCCTAAAGCCTCGCTGTCTGAACACCACAGAATCTGTCGGTGGACTCAGATTTGCTCATTTTGCAGCCAATCAAGAGTTGTCTGCAGTTGTTGACATTAAAGCACTCATCAGCTTCATTCTGCGTCTCCTCGGGAATTTTCACCAGAAACAAACTTAGATACCTTGACGCCGACGGCAGCTTCATGTTCCCCTTTTGATGACAAATAAATGTGAAAGACGGCGTGATATTTACATGTGCACATGTCACACTGTTGCCCTGGGTGACATGTTGCTTCATTAGCATGAACACACTCTGTGGTTCACGTTGACTCAATCCCACGAACAGCGTCCTGCTGTCGCTACAACGCTACAGGGCACCAAATGTGGAGTAATCTGCTTCTCAAAATAGTCCCAACAACTACAGACAATCCTAAAGTAAAGGTTACTCAAAGGTCTAATTAATTCATCTTGGAAATATTTATGCAAAAACAAAATGACTGTAAACAAGAAGCTACTGAAGGAGCAAACACCAACGAGGCAGCAGTCTTCTCAAACTCATAATCTGCAGCCGGATTCTGGTTCAGCACAAAGCTGAGAGCAGTTACAAGTGAACCTGACTGTGGAGTTAGTGAAGAAATCAGAAGTTAATCAGCTCCTCTATAATTTGCATTAATCCATACTGAAACATGATATATAAGTTCCAATACTGACTTTTTCTTGGTCTTGAATAGAACATATCTCGAATCCTATTTATAATCCAACTGAAATGATATCACATCTCGGCTGTACTGTCGATACCATTAACCGGAACTTCTATAAAAGACATACAGATGCAGACTGGTATATAAAATAACAAATAACTCCACCAGCTGCTAATATAACCGAAGTGTTTTGGGTTTTTTTTACCAGCCACAAACGTTTCTGGCTGAAATTCTCAAATCCACACATTTTTTTCAACTCACAAGAACTTGTTGTCCAGCTCTGTAGAGCAAAAGCAGAAATCTGTCTTCAGCTTGCATCATATTCAACATCATGCATCACAACAATGATCAGGAAAACGATTTAAATACACAATGTTAGATGTAAATTCTGAAGAAAGCAAGGAATGAAACACTGATTTAGTCCATTTACAGTCAGTGATTTAGCCTCTTAAAACTCATTTATGTGTATCAAAGTTGCATTTTTAGGTTTTATTTTTCCATGATAATAAACTTTTCCTACCTTAAAATGCAGTGCAAGCTCAGCCCCCCAATACACTGCAAAGCTACTTCATGCTACACAACAGCAAGTTGTAATATTGGAGCTATTCAGCTGCACGTTTGAAACTGAAAAAGACTAATGAAACCAAAAGCTCCACCGTGACGCTGATAAAATCAGTTCTTATGTTTGTTACACATGGAAACCCCAGAAATCTGAATCTGAGTTTCTGAGACATGGTGTTGACTGATGATTTGCTGATGATACACCTTCTAGCATAAAAAAAACACCATAGGGATTAATGTACAAGGCTAAAGACTTGATTTTCACCATGTGCGGTCCCCAGACGTCCAACAGTTACTGATTTAACTGAACAGGAGACTCGTGAATCCTCTAAAGGCTCCACTGTGCTGCTCTGCTTTTACACATGTACCTGTTGTAGCATTTTGTTGCCACTTGAGGGCAAAAACATGTGAAAATGTACAAGTTTGTGCTGTTGTTGGTCCTTTTGCTGCTGCTGCAGAATAGACAGAAGTGATGGTGGAGTCAAACTGAGTCCTGTTGCATCAGCAGCTCTTAAAAACACAAGAATCGTTCCGGAAACTGACCTTTTAAACCGTCCGCTTTAGCATCCGACCTACACGCAGCATTACAGCCGAAGACTGCGTCTCTGTAGCTTCAGTGTTGGTAAATTTCCTCTAATCCTTCAGTAGACGTAGGCGTCGAGCTACAAGCAGAAGCATGAATGTGCCTTAAAATGCCGCCTGTCATTCATGCAGCTGCTTTATCGCAGTGATGAGATGACAAGCTGTTTACTGCGCTGAACAGTTTGACGTTTCTGCAGAGTTTGATGAACTTTTTTTTTTTTCATTCTGCGGCAGTTTAGTCTTTGTGAGCCGAGGAACCGCAGCCAGAACTGCTCTGAGTTCACTTGAGTCTGATTGATTCTTCTAATTTTGAGCCGTGAACTGAAGTTTCCATACGGTTGTAAAGATCATGTTCATCTGTTTATCATGTTAGTCTGGAGTTTCCAATGACTCTTAGAACTCTGAATTTTCTCTGAGGGAATCATTGTCACAAAAACAATCATGTAATTCTGATTCTTTCACAGATTTATTACTGGTCCTATTGAAATAAACATACATACAGAAATCTAACATGTGATTCAATGCCCTTTGACCATTTGCACCTCAACTAGGTTCTTTTGGTTTCCGTCCACCAGCTTCTGGTTTATCTTTGGTTCCTCTGAACAGAATTGGTTCAACTAAATTTGT